TAAATAAACACAAGCAAAACACACAATTTTTAATTTAGCATTATTTCTCCATGTATTTTGACAGAACATTGAGGTTTTAGAAATGTTGAAAGTTTTTAGTTTAATAAGCTTCATCAATTAGTGAATTAAGCTTATTAATCCAAGAGGCTCAAGAAATTTGTTTTCTTATATCTGTGTATTTCCAGATTTGATATTTTACATTGTTCTTAATTACATTTAAAATTTAAATATTGACAGTCATTCTGAAAGGTACCTAATTGAACTTCACAGTTCTTTTTTTTTCCCTTACTCCATTTCTGTCATGAAACAAAAATTTGAACTTATGATTAGCCTATATACCCTAACTATGGTGAGTGTTTTTCCAGGTTTTTGTTTTGTTTTGTTTTGTTTCTGTTTTTTAATGTCTGTGTCCTTCAATGAATTTGCTGAAACTTTTCTAATAAATCAAACTTTAAACAACCTTGATTTTGTGCTTTTAATATTTTACTTCATTCATTTTATTTTATTGCTATCCGGTAACTATCAGCACTTACAACCAACAGATTTAAAGTTTGTATTTGTTAATATTTTTGTTTGTGTTTCCTATTATAACAGGCTTTCAAAGATTAAGCAAATTTTCAGGTTTCCCAAATAAATACCTCTGTATAATACATCATACAATTAGAAAGTTCCAAAACTAAGTGATATAATGCAAAAAACACTTTCTGTGTTACCTATTTATTGCATAGAAATTGAGAAAGCTTGCCAATACATTTACTTTGGAGACAAAACTATTCTTTTAAATAATATACAAATAGTTTACTACTAGTCCACATTTTATTCTTAATCATACTGATTGGAAAGTATCTACTTACAGTATCATCAAGGAAATGATGTAATGAACTGACCTATAATTTTCAAAACCTAAGGTTATAACAACAAAATAATTTTTTAGCTTACATATTCACTTCAAATTGTTTTAATGAATTACAATGGTGGCATAGTGCCTAAGGCATTTGACTAACTAACCAGGCTATTATTCAAATCCACCAGCCACTCCTCAGAAGGAAGGTTGGGCAATCTACTTCTGTTGTGATACTGCCTCGGAAACCCAAGAAAGGGTCACTATGAGTTGGATCCGACTCCATGGCAGTGGGCTTTGTTTTTTGGTTTTGGTATGATTTCACTAAATTAACATACTAATGACAAAAATAATTAAAGTTTAGCAGCCTTAATAACACTCGTTAACTCTTACTTCCTTTGTCCTTGCCTGGGAAGGATATTTGGTCCTAAACACTCCTACACACAGCTCACTTATTCACCCTGATAGCAGGTCTTTTCTCTTTCCCATCTTCCATCTATATTTTATTATTTTTCCAGGTTCCTTCCTCTTCCTTTCTTCCTTCATTCCCACATACTCAATTGAACCACCCACTGAAATCCTGAGTTCTGCTCCAAAGTATATTTTAAAATGATTATGTTCTCCAATATTCCTTCAGAAATACTTTTGCATGTCTTACTCCTTAGAAACTACTTGCTCACCGTAGTTCCACAATCATTCTCCAACTCTTACTTATCCCTACAGAGATTTAGAAACATTTCCCTTTCCAAAGTGTTTCTTTGGAAGGTACAATCAAGAATCTCAAAGAACAAATTCAGTGAACCAGTGCAGTAAGAGGGCTTTAAATAAGAACACAAATTTTGCAAAACTATGGTAACACTGAAGTGTATTATGCTTAGTACCTAATCTGTTTCATTTTCATGTGCAATGTGGATGTATTAAATCAAACGTACATATTACAACACAATGTAATACAGCATAATGAACTGTCTAAATTCGTAAGTGATCAGAATTGGTATCAGCATAAACCTGGTTCCAATGAGATGGAGATTAGGTATATCTCTGTCTTTACACTTCTCTATTGTTTTTGACACCAGCTGTCCTCCCTGTTTCCACAGCACTCTCTACTTCCTTGCAGGGTTCAATACATCACTGCAATGTCCACACAGAACTCACAGACCATAGTCAGAGTTATATGGTTTATTAGGGAAGGAACAGGTGTCAAGAAATACATAGAAAATGTCTGGAAGGGTTCGCTAAGTGAAGAGTATATCCCTCCCTTCTTCAGTGCAGGACAGCTTCTGACCAGGACAGCTCTCAGAGAAAAAGGATCATTGAGCTCATAAGCTCCCCCCTGGAACAGGTCTAAGACTGTGTTCTTAGCCAGCACCACTGTACTCCTTTAATGATCAGTGGACATGGCTTCTCTGCTGGGCAGCTACCTTCTCTACCATGCAGACCTTTTTACGGTCAAACTCCCCATCATTGACCCTTTTGCTGTCAGCCTCTCTACCACTAACTAACCCAACTAATAGCTAGTTTAGCAGTCTACTCAGCTTTTTCTGTTGTTCTCTGCCAACAGACCTTTCTGCTGACAGTCTTTCTACCATTAACTGGCCAAACTCACAGCAGCCCACTCAGCTTTCTCAGCTACTGTTCTCCATTGTCAGTGGAGGCCTCACTGCCTCATTGCCACTGAGGCCTCTTTGCCATTGGGTGCTTTGCCATCAAGGTAGGCACCAATGTTCTGTTTACTATTGGTCTCTCCACCACTAACGAGCCTACTATACAGCCCACTCAGCTAACTGCCACTATAGCAGCCCACTCAGCTCTTCTACCTGTTGCCTAAAGTCAGCCTTCTCTGCCATTGAGTCTGTTTGCTGCTGGTCTCTCTGCTGCTAACTGGCCCAACTTATACACAGTATAGCAGCTCTCAACTCTGCTCTACTCAGCTCTCTCAGCTGCTCATTGTTGTCAGGTCTCTCTGCCACCAGGTCTCTCCACCACCGGTACTCTGCCATCCACATCTCTGCTGATAACAATCCCAGCTCAGAGCCAGAGTAACAGTTCACTCAGCTCTCTCAGCTACTGCTCACATGCTGAACTGTCTGTGCTGCCGGCCTTCTCTGACATCAGGTGCTCAACAATCAGACTATCCATTGTCAGCCTCTCCTCCAGTAAACATCCCAGCTCATAGGCAGTGTAGCAACATCAGGACTACCCTGCTGCCATGTGTCTCTGCTTCTCTGCTTCTGCATTGAGCAAGAGGCCCGAAAACTTCTGCCTTTCAGCTGTCTATATAATACCAGTCCAAATCAGTTACAAGGTGGAGTCTCCTTCATCATGCAAGAGTTCAACCAGTGGTCAATTACTCATGAAATGTCAGTTAGCTCAGGTCTTGAACAAAAGTAACATTTTCTGCTAGCAGAGACTGGATCTTCCCATAGGCAAAACTAAGAACCTGCTTGGATAGAAAGCCACCTGGTAGGTTCCCCAAGTTGAAGAAGAGAAGAACTAAAACAAAGGTAACAACTTCTCAGGGCTTAAGGGATAATTTTCCAAAGCTGTTTGTTCCAAAGAAACAAGGCAATAAGCCATATAAAGGAATGTATTGCATCATGCAAATGTTACCTAGGACACCATGATGTTATAGAGCTCTCTTGAGTCAACCTTAATCATTCTGATGTGTAGTTTGGTGTTGTGTATAAATGTACATTCTACCAATAGAGTGTGTCATAAGATAAATGTAAGACAATATATTTTTAAATACTGCTGTATCCATCACTTTCACAATTTTGTATTTTTATAAATTTGATAAAAGAGGTATAAAAAATATGTCCATGTAAAATGGTACAACCATTGTGGAAAGCAGTATGGCGAGTCCTTCAAAAGTTGGAAATACAAATACCATTTGACCCAGCCATCCCACTACTAGGTATATACCCTAAAGAAGTGAGAGCCATAACAAGAACAGATATATGCACACCGATGTTCATCGCAGCACTATTTACAATAGCCAAAACTTGGAAACAACCTAGATGTCCA